AAGAAWTTGTTGAAAAACTTACAGTTAGCAAAAATATTTATCCATTCGAATCAACGGTTTTCTTCGATTTCTAATCTAACAAAATTTCTACCATACAAAATTATTATACATGGGGACACAACGAGAATCACAAAGAAAATTTACTATTTTTTGAGTTCGGCTAAGTTTGTTTCCAAAAGTTATTCATGATTATTATACTGAAGTACCTCACTATCACTCCTTATAAGTCTTGGTAGGAAAAAGAATGCCTACTTTTCGGCGGAGAGGCACAAATCATATGTGTTTAGCTAAAAGAAGGATGTTTTTTTTATAAATGCAATTTTATCTAAAAGAGCAAAAGAAACCGCTTAGAAATATCACTTGCATATSATTATGATAATAACAACTTGTAATGCATTACGTAGAGTTTATAATTTTTAATACAAAATCAATAAAATGGAAATTTTCACTTGAGTAAGTATTTGCATCAAGAAGGATGGAGTCATGTGTAGAAGTTCACACAAGTGAGGAAAGTTCTCTGAGCGCCATTCACTTGGGAGTGATCAGAAACGATTCTTTTACATTTGACTCAAGCCGCTCACGGCTTCCGGTTTTAGGCCAAGTATCCTCTGGGTAGCTAATGAACATTCGTTTGAAGGCGAGCTAAAGTGGAAAAGTGAACCATTCCTCTCCAGGGTTATGYGTTGGTTTTGGGACTCGCCACGTGGCCACAAAGAAAACAAAACAATAGAACAAAACAGAATGGACGAAAATACGCCAGCTCTTAAAGTTTTCGACACTGCATCCGCGGGGGGAAGCAAAGGAATRCCTTCACTCCGTTGGAAAGACCAAGAGGAGAAGGACCTGGTAAAGAAGAGGAAGAATACTTGCATATTTTTTAAGGAACCAAATTTTCTACCACAACAAATTTCCATCTAAACCTTAAGCAGATGATTTAAATCAGAATAGCTTACAAATAGATTTTAGCAAGCTTTACTAATTTCTAAAATCCCGAAGCTCGTTATTATCTTAAGGCATTCAATTCATAGTACAACTAATAATATATGATAATTTTCCATCAAAGCGATTTGAAGAAACGAAAAATCAMATATCATCAAATGATTAATACGAAATTTTTGACCTTACACATAAACCATGAACGATTTCCAATCAATTACAAACTCTAATGTGAACTCAATTAAGAAACAATAACCCATTACAAGTTATAAACTGCAAGCGCTTTACTAATAACAATTGTATGGAGCATGAATAGCTGCATAGCCCGATTTCTATGGGCACAAATTGTCACWAAAATCAATTAAAATATAATCTAATAAAAATTGTCTTCTGCCTCACATGARAATCTTCTCACACATATTGGAATTGGCTCTTGCGGCACTGTCTCTTAATTAAATGACGCCCTAATGCATGTTGCAAAGTCAGAAATCAATAAAACTGGCAACTTGCTCAGCGGCAAATGAGTGTTGATTATGTCACTTATCTCGAAAACAGAATTCTATTGTTAAAAAACTTACACATCGAGGCTGCTTGACTACTTATACATTTTTTAAGGACATACATATGTATAAAAGAAAAGTAGAATGTGCCTGCGTCTGAGCTCTTCCCTAACCGTCTTGAATGCCCCACTGATATCGGGTGACAATAATCATACAAATGTCGTAGATAACACACAATTTATTGGGATAAGGAATATATATGTGCAATTGTTTGTTTTTTAGTGGAAATCAATACCCGTCGAGGGTACACGACACTTCGTAGCTAGTTTGAGACTGTGCGAAAGAGGGAGAGGAGCGAGTTTGCTGACGCTGGGTTTAAATAGCACGAGTATTTGCTCAGTAGGGTATCAATGGAATGTTCTAAAGTCAGCTGGAGGGTTACTTAAAAAACGGAAATAAAAAACCCAATTGAAAATGCGAAGGTATGGAAAATTGGGCAACGGAGCGAGTTGTTTAGCTAAGGAATTGTGAAATTGATGCTTGGGAAATTGTGTTTAACACGCGTCTACAAAGCAAATATCCCATTAACACCATTCTAGTGTAAAGAGCTTACTTCTATTTGTTTTGATTATGTAATAATGCGCTCTCCGGGTTCTCAAATTAGCAACGAAAATATAAGRAATGAACGGGATAATGAATAATGAAAAATATCTTAAATAAAGAAATAACATTTTCTTTTGCAAAACACAAATTGAATAAAAATATGCTAAAAAAATGAGAATAAAAAATTATAGAAAAAAACAACGAAAATAATTTTAACAAATAAATTTATTTGGCTTATGCATTTTTATAGCTATAATTATACAATTGAAACAATAATCTAAAATTGAAATTAAAATCATAAATTAATTTAATTTCTTACAAATATTTCGTTTTATTAAATAATTACATTAATAAATAATTTTTGACCAAATTTAAGTAAAAGCAGTAAGAATCGGCAATCGCTAAAAGGCACGCAGCTTTTTAAAATACTTAAAAAATTCACAAAAATAGCAACTGCCGTTGTACTGTTCGATTCACATACGTATATGTATGTATGTATGTATTTGTTTTGGTTATTTTCAGTTTTCGCAAATTTATTTCTTTAAATTTTTTATTAATAAATTTTTTTGATTCATTTTCTTTTTTTTTATAAGCTGCAACACTTCATTGCTGCGGCTGCACATCGCAGGTTCACCTTAAATGCTAAAAAATTAATATACAGCGATATGCACTCGCAACAATGAAAGTCGCAACTGTGCCGTTATATGTTTGTATGGCTAGCATATTGTTATATACTTTTGACTTTTTACCGTTATAAGTATGTACGTTTGTWTGGCTAACCTATTGTTATATATTTTTGACTTTTTCTTAAGGCGTATGGCTAAAGTCTACTAAGCTTTAAGCTATCAGCAAGACTGTTTGTATAAAATACGTTGACTAGACTAAACTGGGCTCGTACCGTTATCCAAAGACCTATCTGGTTATATATTAGGTTGAAAATKTTCTCATTGTGTCATTATGGTTTTATAGTCAAGATATTCCAAAGCAGACCGAAGCACCTACACTAAAAATTTCACAATTTTGTGGATTGTTTAACTGAACTACCAAATGCACTTTGTTATTTATTTAATATTTTCTATTGGACTTCGAAAAAGTCTTTCCGTATTTCTTATCAAACTGCCCGGATGGAAGACCAAGCCTTTTCTGTTGATCAGTTCTGGCCGTTTTTTTTTTTCGATTTCTTGCTTCAATCTCATCAGTTGTTGACGACAAATGTGGAATCAAATGTGGATCAGTCTGAAGCGCCTCATAGTGGATGATTTCTTCCCAATCCTAGCAAACACTCAGCATAACCTTTCGAGGCGACAATCCCGGCTTTGTGACCATTTTTGAGCTGCGCTACACTTGGACAATGATATATTCGCACATTATTGTCGTATTTTATCCACTTTTCGACTCCTGTTACCAWTCGCTTCAGAAATGGTTCGATTTTATTTCGTTTCAGCAAAGAATATCATATGTTAATATTTTCCAATAATTTTTCACAGACAATTCAATTTGTGGTGCSCAAACATCGAGCTTCTTTTTGTATCCAGCCTTTTTTAAATGAATCTATACAGCAACGCCTCCGTAAAATCAACAAATTTCATTGGTGGCTAGCGTTCCTTTTTTGTACAAAAATTTAAAAATTTAGCGAATTTCTTCATTCACATCAATTGACAAAATACGAAAGGCTTTTTCGACCCAATATTTGCAGTATAAAATCACTGTCATTAGTTAATAACGGCATATAATTAGTATGGCAACGTGTACGAGCCCAACTTTTTACTTCCCTTGCAGACCGGCTTATTTGTAAATTGTATGTGAATTTTGGTATATTTTTCRTTTCTTTGTTTTCCAGTACAAAATAAATTATTTGCATAAAATTTATAATTTAGTAAAAATTAAATTTAAATACGACAATTACATAAGCACATACAACTTCTACAACTTGCGACGATCCCAACGATCCTTCAATGAATGAAAACGTGTGCAATTCGTTTGATTTTACTACTTTGAGGTAATTTYTACTAAAAGTCTGCTCAAATGAATGGCTTGAAGTTTTTTTTACCTGGCAATCTTATTGTTATTAGTTATATGAGGTAGTCATGCGGTATTTAATATTTTTTTCTACGCGCTTTTAAYTCAACTTTTCTCCAAGCCGCCATAMATTTCGCGGTTGTGTTCGTATGCGTTTTTATTACTTTATATTATACATACGTATATCTATAATATATATAGTATATTTAATTACCATTACTCTTTTAAGTAAAAATTATTTGTTAATGTTTAATGGAAAGTACCAAGTAAATTGTACTTTTGCCCTGAGAAAACGTTCTTGTGCTGTTTTAATTTATCTTGTTTACTCGTATGTCTGTGTGTGTGCAGTTGTATTTGTGTGGAAAAGTGTATATACATGGTATTTATTAGGTAAATACTAGTATATGTATGTGTATTTATATTATATACTATGTACTTGTGCAAGTACTGTTATCGAATGTAGTACATTTGGCAAATATGTATGGTATGTACGTATTTATTGTTGTCTGCATGTATGTATGAACTTGTGTTATGCTACTAACTTTTACCAAGTGTTCTTTAAGCTTCGATCGATAACTAATATTTTATAACTAGTTGTTAATATAATTAAGAGTAAATTCATTATTTCCATAGTTTGACTGAAACTTGTATGTTTTTGAGCAAAGCCTTTCCCTTTGTGGATTTCATGCATATGTATGTATATGTATGTATATTTATGTATAAGAATGTATGTTTGTATGTAACTGTTATGTGGGAGTTCTTAATTTCAAAACTACATACTTAAGCATAGTTCTAAATGTTTGTTTACTATTGCAGACACTTTCGGCGCACCGAACCATGTCTCACACACTAAACTTGTTTCTTCACACGCCTATGTTCGTATGCATTCCTGTATGTATATATTTATGTGTAAATTTAGCTATACTGCAACAGTGACTGTGTGCTGTGCTTGCTAAAATTGCAGAGCCTCGACTTAATTATGTACTATGTATGTACGTATAGAATTTGCATTTTCACTAAATTTTTGTTAATTTCTATAAACAAATTTTGATTTTATTTTAGGAACTTATGATTTTTGTCATCACCGAATGCTCAGTGCTAAGCCAGGCTCACTTGAGCCCAATGTTGCCAGACGTTTGTGTATATAATTCAGCAGATTTCAAAAAATTCGAATGMGAGACATTTATAAATCTTATCGTTTCGGTTTCTTCGAGTAATTCTCAATCAAAAGCGCGCTCTGCCTTTTTGGTTAGTTAGAGAAGTTTTAAGTTGATGAAGAAAACATTGATAAACTTAAAGCAATTAGTAAAAGAATGTATTAAATTTTTCTGAACGGATTTTCTGTACAACAGTCTGGCAACAATATGCTCAAGTTACGCGCCTTAGTCTTAAGCTCCAGCGCTCTAGGCTGGTGTCAAGTTGAAGGACACGGTTACAGGCCCTGAGATGCGTTTTCTAACGGGCAAATAAACTATAGCTGGCACAAACCTGTTACTGGACTCCTCAGCACTAGCTGCAGCGCTGGCAGCCTCCGTCATTRTGTCCATTTCACGTTCACGCTGGATTTCCAAAACAAAAGCTTGCATTTGAGGTTCATCGTCCTCCAGACCGTCGCCTGCCACGTCTTTCGGCACCGCATAGGATGCCACCTTACCACATTTTTCTGCTAWATCATTGAGCGCAACCTGAGATAAAGTGTTAGTGGTGGCTGTGGATATGGGTGAGGTCGCAATTGTGCGTGTTTTCTCCAACTTGATGTGCGCGAAGGACTTGGTAGTTACAATGTCCTTGCGGCCTTCTTTTGCTTCTATTTGCTTGGAGTTGCGTTGTGCCTGATTCTCTTTAGTTGATTTCGATTTACTTGTACTACCAGATGGTGTGGTTGATCGTGTGGAGAGATTAGTTGGTTCGACGCGTCCGCACTCCATCGTCGTCATGCTATTGGGCTGTGCTATCGACAGTAATGAAGACTTGTCCGTCATTTCCGTATTGGTGGAGTCTGACTTCGATTTGTTCTCACTACTGCCATTTGTTTCGTCTTTAATGCCACTGCCGGGTATTAATTGCCCTGAAGCAGTTGCTTTCAAATCTCCAGCACCACCGAGCAGTGTATGTGAACGTTCGTGTATGAAGAGGAATGCATAGTATGGAGTGGTGAAGGGACAAATGGAACATTGGTATTCTTGTAAACGTGGTGTAGAGTGCGACTGTTCTGTTGCAGCTCCAAACATGCCCGGCAAGATATTTTTGGGCATGTTACCGAGCAGRTGCTGCGCATTCAGGTTCTGCAGGGCTTGAGCAAGATTCGCTGGGTTCGACAACGCTCCAGTGGYAGTATTCATATTGTTTGAATTCGAACCTGTATTAGCTGAACCATTGGGTATTTTGAGCGTAGGGCTGGAGGACTTGCTTAAAGGACCGCATTGTTGKTCCARTTCGCGCAGTTTCTCAATACCTGCTGTGCCATGGTCGTTTTGCAAATGTGCACGCAGCCACTTTGCGCTGCGGAATCGACGTGTGCAAATGACACAGACTTCTGTGTAGTTGGCGTAATCCGATTTGGAGTCACCAGAGTTGCCACTACCGAAGGGGCTCAAGTTGAGACCGCGGTTGAGATCGGTTTCTGCGGATGATAGTTGCTGTTGTTGTTGTTGTGAATCAAAGCTTAGCCCATTTTGCCGAGGTTGTGGCAATGGGGCGCTCTCGTCGACAATGCCATGCGTGTTTTGTTTGTGTACGCGCAAAAAATATTTACTGCAGAGCTCTTTGTTGCAAATGTTGCAGACAACGCCACCGATTTGTGCRCCGTTCTCGATTTCAATGCCGTGCATACGTTGCATGTGTGTCTTCATGAAGTATTTATTGCACAATTCCTTGTTGCAAATTTCGCAATAGCTGCTAGTCGGCGTTATGGTGTAGGGTGGACGTGAGCCCATCGATGMAGCGTTCGGGTTTATGGGACGTTCGGGTGTGGCAAAGCCGTCCCTCAGCGGACTTCCGGGTAATAKATGAACTTCGGCGATATGTTGTTTGAATTCTTGTATATTGGCAAAGTCACGATCGCACTGATTGCAGCGCATTTCGTTGAGTGAAGGTGTGACACCAGGGGAACCTGAGGGAGAATGCTTGAGCACTTGTTGTTGCTGCTGTGCTTGCATTTGTTGCTGTTGTTGGAAGAGATGCTGCTGAAAGTTAAGTGGTAGTGTGCCGCTACCTTCCAACAGGCCGGCGTGGTCGGTCATCATATGAACTTGTAGTGCATATTGGTTCTCCATATCGCGGCCACAGATGTGACAGCCCATCGTACGTTTGCCATTCAAGTCGTTTAGTTGTTGTATCATAGATTGCAGTTTTTGTAGATTTTGCAGGCCAACAGCGGTCTCAGGACTAGTTGRCATATTGGCACCCGAATTATAGGATTCCGCTAAAATCTTTTGCGGTTCCGGAGTAGAGGCCACACTGTGCGAACCCGTTTGCTGTTGTTGTTGTTCCGCCGACTGACGACCCGATAAGCATTTGTTTTCCTGGTTTTCATCATTTCTTTTCGAAACCTCTTCATCATCTTGTTCAAGTTTAATGCGTTTAGCTACGTGCTGGGGAACATCGTCGGCGCCAATATTGGGCGTGGTGGAAACGGACGAAGTGGCAGCAGCAAACATGCGTTGAGCCATGAACGCTTTGTCATTGGCCATCATCAAATTTAACGGCATTCCTGGTAGACCCATAAAGGGCCATGCCATCTTTTGAGCAAGCTGAAGCTGTTCGTCCTTAATATCATCTGGAGGTACGAATATGCCATGCCGCTTCCATTTATGTGTACGCAGGAAGTACTTGTTGCAATATTCYTTGCAACAGATTTCACAAAATGCTTCCGGATTGACCACACCCAAACGACGTAACTTATCGTGTGAGAAATTGGCTTCGCGTGCTTGCTGTTGCGATTGTGGCGAYAGCTTTCGTGGCTGCGGTGTGAAAGACACTTCTTCCTGTTCAAGAGTGAAGTCCTGTCGGAAGCCATCGGGCATTTGAAATTGCTTAGCTTCGGAATCTGTTGGTGAACTTATTTTAGACAAATCAAGTTTCGATTCGCTTTGAGCAATTGGGGTCGGTGTGTCTGATTTCGATGTTGGCACGTTTGACTGCAGTGGCGGTGGAGTGGGAATTGTCGATTCGCTGGGGCTCCTGCGCTGCTGATCGTGTGCTTTGGCGCGGTGACGGCGCATGGCGAATACATTGGTGAAACGTTTTGAGCAAACGTCGCAGTACACTGGCGGCGGTGCAGGCGGAGTCAGTTGTTGAGCCGATGCTCCGTTATTGGCTTGTTGCGAACTAATTTGTTGTTTCTGAGCTTCTTCCAACGCCATTTGTTGTTTCTGTTGTAAATGTTGCATAGATTGTTGTTGTTGCTGTTGTTGCATTTGCAGCTGCAACATTTGGGTCATGGCGCTCATATTTCCCCCAGTAGTGTTGGCTCCTCCTTCACCACCAGCAGAACCGGCTGGATCGTAAATGCCGTGCTTGTTGGCTCTATGTGTTTTGAGGAAATATTTGTTGCAGAATTCCTTRTTACAAAGATCGCARTAGGCTTCAGGATTGAATATACGAATCGGCGGACGATTTATTCCATCAACMGTGGGAAAACCGGGCATACCTAACAACGGCAAATAGCCGCCGGCGGAGAGTGCCGCTGCAGCTGCAGCCTCTGGAGGAAAAGGAAATCCCATGCCCGCCATAGTGTTGAGCCAAGGCTCTTTGCCGTTAGCTAGAATATTTACGTTATGGTTATCAATTTGATTTCCGGCTGTGGTGACAGCGGGCGGTGAGGTGGAATTCTCATAGTCAGGGCGTTCCATTTTAACGCTTACTGAGGACAGCATGTCGTATGGTATGAGCTCTGCTTTCTGTTGGCTCTCATCTACGACACGGTTAGTATTTTCATATTCGGTTTCATCATTCTGATGTTCTTGTARCATGTGCAATCCCAGTTTAAATTCGGTTTCAAAGTTTTCGCCACATGTTTTGCAAAAAGTCTGATAAGGATTTGTCAGCTCTTCTCCCAACTGGTGTGACTTCGGTGAACATTCGTCGCTTACCAGCTCATCACTTACTGTTTTCAYTTCCGAGACGATCTCTGTTTTCGGTTTTACCAACTGTGGCGAGGAAAAACTTTCTTCGGGYCCAGCCGTTCCAGTGTCYGGTGATATGTTTCCAAATTGTTGTTGCTTTTGTTGCAGCAATTCAAACGTTTCCTTTAACTGCTCTATTGATTTTGGTAAAAACATTTTCGATAACTTGTCGTCGTAATCGATTGGCAGTGTGKTCGGTGTCATGCTGCCTGCTCCGAATTGGTCCTTATCGGCCATTATGGCTTCTGCAGCCGCATTGATTAGTGCGCCTTCGCTGCCTTCATTTAAACTTAATGCCGCCGCCGCTGCGGCTGCGGCTGCGGCCTGTGCGCCAACCCTACTGGGATTGTTCTGCTTGCGTCGTTTTTTCGCAGCATCGTTTATTGCCTCCAAGAATTGCAGTTGCATGGCTGCTGCATTAGCGGCTGCCGTCATAGCGGCCATAGCCGCCGCTGCGCCGTCATCTGCGAGTGGTGTCGTTGACATGACGGCGTCATCTTCTGGTGTCCCCTCATCTCGTATTGCTCTATCAACGTGCTCCTCCAGTGTAATTGCGGCACTTGTAACGCTTCCGCTATTAGATGTTTTTGGGGACACACTTCTGCTCTGTTTCGGCGTGTGTGGRTTGGATGGGCTCGCTTGACTCGCAMYGCTTGCTAGAACTTCGTTGATAGAGCGCTTCTGTATATTTGCTACTGGGTTCGAATTTGTTGTGTTATTTTTGCTTGTGGTTGTATTGTTACAACTTGCGCTGCTGTTGTTATTGGTAGTTACGTTACTATTACTATTGCTGCTGCTGCGATTATTTAGCGAGGATGCATTGGAGACATCTGAGAGAGCAGTGTCCTCGCTGCTTAAGTCTGGAGGTGGAGTGGCATAAATAGACGCGGCCATTTTTGTTATTACTGTTKGGGCGAAATGAATAAAAGAAAAAAYGAAGAAACTATATTAATTAGAAAGGAATCAAATGGTCCCTAAATTATTGCAAAGTGCGAACACAATTTATAAACTTTATGGTTCGTAATAAATATTAGAGTGCATGTACAACAATAATTATGAACTTGTGAAACGGTTCGAATAAATATGAGAGGCATGCGTTCTACAACAATATTATGAACTTGTGAAACGGTTCGAATAAATATAAGACTGCACACGTTCTACAACAATATTATGAACTTGTGAAACGGAAATATTTTGAAGGCAGGTTAATTAACTTTTATTGAGATTTAATCCCCAAATAAATTGAAAAACTTAACATATATATTAGATTTGTTTTTTCTGAATATTTCTTCTAGTTTCAACCTTCGCGACAGTAACAGTTGTGTATTTCCTTAAATAGTATTTAAGCGACTTGTGGTCTTACTTGCTAGCAATTTATTTGGTAGAGTCGAAAATTCCAACTATTTATCCACATACATAAGCTTAATACAACCGCCGRACCCAAATTTTCGACCATGCGATTCAATTTTGTAGCTTAAAGCATTGCTTGAACGAATCGGCCAACTAACAGCACGTGCGTACACAAAAACAGTTACTTAAATAATTACAAATATTATTAAACACACACACACACACACACCAACTTGGAGTTTGTATAGACACTCTTTCATTTTTCCTAATATTACTTCTTTTMCCCAGTTTYCCAGCAAATTCTATGAAAAATTTTCCATTATACATAATTTCCTCCGTATCCCCACCAACGCCGCTGCACATAACGTCCTGATAACCAAAGCAACAATTCACACATACATACTCATACACATGCACTAGCACAGTTTGAGTGGCGGTAGCRACAGCAACAACAAAGTACAAAAAATTATACAAAGTCATCCGATTTAAGGAATACAAATTTTTCTTATTTCATATACTCSTATCTCCTTTGAATTGGTTTGAGTTGCCACGTCTTGCCGTGCCTGCCAACGCTGCCGACTTGCGCTCAAAGCTGGCGGCYAAGCCGTTACGAATTAGCAAACAGAACGCCCTCACATTACACCCGACCACCGCCACCAACTGAATTTCGATTGTAGCCCTGCTTGTGTGTTTAGCCGTACATGTAAAACTTATGAAAATTTTCTTCAACTTGACTTGGCAAAATAAATTTCATTCTTGAGAAAAAAGTGAAAAAGTAGTCGAAATGCAAGCCAGCAGTCGCACGAAACTACTGTGGAGGGCGGTGGGGGGACTGAGAAGCGAAAAGAATTCTCCACTATGCCGAAAACATAAATTAAGTTTCCATGGTTGAAATTGGTTGACTAGAAAGACGGCAACATACTTAAGTATACATAAGTATGTATGTGTCTGTATGTAATTKTAGTTGTAGTTGGCARCTGCTTGGTGCTTGGGCCTGCACGCTTCGTTGGCTCGACTTGACTTTCGTTTTTGCCAAGCAACGCTCACTATTTTGCTAGAAGCAAACTCTTGCGCGTGTTGTTGTTGCTAGCACTGCTGCCGTGTGGCGCTGCAGATATGTTGAATTAAAGTTGGYTGCGTTGGCTGTTGGCGTTGGGCGGTAATTGTATCGCTTCGCCCGCTGCCCCCCGTGTGATGCCGATGCGGGCAGCACCGTGTGGAAAACAATATTAACGCACAAGTGTGTGTGATCTGTTTTGTGGCAGTGCATAGGTAACTGATTGCTGCTTCACTCATTTCGCATCACCACGTTACTTGCTATCTCCTTCTTCTAGCATTCGTCGTATTTATATTTGGTTCTTATATATAAATTGTGCCTTTACATATTTTAGCGAGATACGCGTTTGAGTTTAAGGAAAAATGTGAAAGGTAATAGAAAAAAAAGCAAGAATGTAAACAAACTACTCTTCTCTTTCGACAGCCTCAAGTAATTGCCTGGGTGGCTGCCATAGTGGGTGGTCGAAGCAAACACCAAATATGATATGTAAGTGGCTGGTCGATTGCTGGGAGAAGAGGCTAGTAGACAAACTGAATGCAGCAACGCCTGCTGGGTGAGTTGTGTGTTTGGCTTTTGATGTTCAAKGGGTCCAACGCCTAAATGTATGCTATATACAGACAGTAAAGAAGAGATGCAGAATATAAACAAGTTTAACCTGCAACGACATCTATTGACTAAATCCGAAAAGACATTTTCTACTACGCGATATATCTCAGTGGAGTATAGATGAATATGATTGAAATTAAAAGTATTTAATTAATAAAGCRAATTAATATAAGTCACAGTATTCATCTGTCATCTTGAGATTTGGTACACTAAGCCTAATTCTTTGCTAATTTTAGTTTACGATGGTATGAGTAAGCAATGTTTTTTCAGAAAATTAAGTAGATTTCCAAAAACGGAGAGTTTTTTCGTTAAATAAGAGAGCAAACTAACTAAACTTTTTTTAATTTGTATATTAACAAACGAAAAAAAAAATTAATAAAATCGTATACACAATTAAAATATATATTCTACACGGTACTCCTAAAAAAATTGTTAAAGAAGAACTCGGCTGCTGATTAAACAAATATTGAGTATCATTCCGYTAATATTATTTTCGTATGTTATTTTTGCTTTTTTAAATTTTTTTTTAATTCCAAAAATTTTTTTTTATTTTTTATTTTATTTTTTATCTTAAACATTTTCTTACGTACACATATGTAATATTTAGTTTGTTTTCGTGATGTAAATAAATTGTATTTTAGTATATTTTCTTYGCTTCTTCTCATAGAATAAATGCAATCACTTTAGTTTATCACACAAAATGTTAAGTCATTGATATTTATTCACTTGATTTACAAGCCGAATGGTTGTCGTTTAAATCGCGTAAAAAAATCGAATGAGTAAAGCGCGCATGCGCAATGGTGTTGTATCCTTTGGAACGTGCCGTTTAGTACTGTGCAGTGCGCTTCTGTGCATGATGCAGCAGAAAAGCATCCAACAAAAAAGTGCACAATTTTCGGCACTTTTTTCGTTAAATTCACCGATTTCCCGATTTCCGATCGCCGATCGACGACCGCACAAATAATCAGGGGACAGACAAACAACTACCCCCTCGCCAACGTTGCACTTTTATTGCGACACGATTTTCACAATAAAATTCCGAATGCCATACACACACACATATATATATACATACACAGCGAAGTGCGCACATTTAATGGTTTTCATCATCAAAAAACCACTTTGAAACACCCCAAAATATTGAAAATCACATAATTTCCCTCAAAAAGTGAATTGCAACGCAGGCAGTGCGCTCGCCAATGTAAACCAGGCGACAGTGTCACAGTGTAMGTAGAGAGTTCGTGTTTGTGCGTGTGCTCATGTGGCTGTGAGGCGGTTGATTGGTCCGCCCTTTTTGCTTTCACAGTTTTTAGCATTCGATTTTCTATTGTTGTGCAGCATTGTGCCTGWTGTGGTTGTTGTTGTTGGTTTTGTTGCTACTACATTTCTCCTAATCAACCGGCACAGTGTTCGATGCTCTAAGCGATAGTTTTTCAATTTGCTCATTGTTGTTGTCGTTTAAATGACAGCAAGACGGCGCGTTATGTGCATAATTCATATTTAAGGGTGCGTTGTTGCTTCGCCGTCTTGGCTGGTCAGCATTCAACTAATTTCACTTTCAACATCTTCTCCAATTTCCCAGCTTCGAGTTCAACGTGCACCAACACTTGCATATATATGTATGTATAAACAGTTATGTTCCGCATTAATTTGACAGCATCTTGACGTTCTGAGGCATAGTTATCTTGTATCTCATTGCGCACATGTTTGTCTGTCTGCGTGGATGGAAGCTAATCAAGTCTGTCACATGCATGCCCATCAAACTCAACTGAGCCCTGAGGCCAATTATAGTGAGCATCATCGCAGTTGGGCACACTATTACACACRCACACACAATCAAAGTGCGCATTTGGGCTCGAGTACTTGTTCATGCGACATGCAAATCAACAATGCAAAACTGTGAACAATCGCATTCTCAAATCTGTTGCAACAATCCCACTATCCATAAACGCACTGTACTTTACTTCCCCCATTCGCCCATCACTTTTTTTGTTTTTGTTACCGCTTTTGATTGTTGCCTTACAATATTATACAACACTTATCCACATATATGGGATGTTGTCCTTAGAGTCGCTAAGCGCCATTGACAGATCCAGTCATACTTTGGCAAGTCATAGTTAATCCGTCAAACAACCCTTAGCAGATCATACTGGCATAGCTGACAGTGACTAATAAAGTTATTAACATGCAAACTGACTAGCACCAGGTCACATTCACTTCAACATAAGCATATCAGTACAATAGGAATGCTTTCCAAGCACCTGAATACGACCACTTCGTGAAAAATCAATAGCAAAATTCATAAATGATATTCAAATATTCGATCTCCAGGGACTTCCRTGCTATTAACCCCAAACATCAACTSTATTCCGGAACTTGCTGCAACAAAGGTTGTTTTCAATTTTGAATTTAGTAGTGTCGTTAGTGCAAAGACTGTAACAGTCCAACAGTCCAAGTTTTATATATGCATACATACATACTTGTACTTAAGTGTAAGCAATCAATGCATAGAGGTCATAAGAGCTCCAATCTTTTCGTATATCACTTTACACTTTAGTTCCAACTCTCAGAATTACAGTAAAAAACGAAATTCTGAAAGATTTATATTAATTGTTGAAATCTTCATGACATTCAGTATTGTTGAAAACTGAAACCCTTAAACTACGGCATGATACGACCTAGTGACAGCGAAATTTTCTTGTTTTATCTGCATTTGAACATTTTGTTGACGGCAGCGACTTATCAAACAGCTGATGTACACAAATTTTTTGTTGCCGTCAAGCCTTTCAATTCAATGAAATTAAAAAATTTTGTTCAAAGTGAAAAATGAAAAAAAAATTAGAAAAATTTTTAATTGGGCGACAGCGAATCAGGAAAGGTCAGAAAAATAAA